TCCTCGCCATCTTGAAGGGGCCCTGGGACACACAGATCCGCCGACCCTGTCGGCGTGTGGAAGAGGTTGTTCCGTTTGACTCGTCCTCGTCGTCGTCGTGGTCGTTGTTGTCGTCGTCGTCGCTGTCGCCGTCGCAGGTCCCCTCCCTTTCCCTAAGCCTGGCGCCGCTGCCTCCACTTTCACCGGGCCCTCCTCCTCGAGCGCGCCAGCCACAGCGAAATTGAGCAGCGCTGTAGTTGAGTCGAAGGGAAACCCCTTCCCTTTGATCCGTTCCCCGGCGGGGGGGGGCGGGGGGGTCCCGGGGGGTCCCGGGGGAGGTCCCGGGGGGGGGGTCCCGGGACTCCCCTCCGGGCGGTTCGGGAGCCCAGACAATCCCCAAGACGTAGCAAAAGTGCCCCCAGAGGCCCCCAAATATGTCCTCGAGGGCCCGAGGGAGTCCCAGGAGGGGGGGGAGTACTGGATTTTTTTCTCCCTCCTCCCTCTGCTCTTCGCTCCTCCTCCTCCTCCTGCTCCTGCTTCTCCTCCACCACCTCCTCCTCCTCCTGCGTGCGGGGGGGGGACCGGAGGTAAATCCCGGAAACAAGTCCCGGGGATGCTCCAGGAGGGGGCCAGGGAGAGCCCCGAAAGTTCTGTCATGATTTTGATTGTTTCCTGCCTCCTCCTCCACCTCCACCGTTGCTCTCCCTCCTCGTGCCCCTCCTGTGCCTGCTCCTCTTCCTCCTCCTCATGCTCCTCCTCCTCATCATTCTCCCCCGCCTGCTCCCTCAACTGCCTCCTCCACCCTTCCTCCCTCTCCACCTCCTCCTCCTCCTCCTCCTCCTCCTCCTCCTCCTCCTCCTCCTCCTCCTCCTCCTCCTCCTCCTCCTCCTCCTCCTCCTCCTCCTCCTCCCCCCCCCGCGTTTTCATATTCGTGGCCTCCAGGGTCGGCGGAACAGGCCGTAAGGCCGTCGCAATAAATAGACACAAAGTACAGGACTCGCAATATTTTCCTATTTTTCCAGGGGTTTTCGTCTCCCCCCCCACTTCCCATATTTTCCCAACTTTTCTGGGGAATCGACGATCAATTGTGTCTGTGTGCTTTTTCCCTCCTGACGTCGCTTGACATTTGCAAAAGTTTCCAGGATGGAGCGCGGGTGCTAAAAGCTTGCAACAGCTTCACGGATGGAGGGCGGGTGGTTTTCAACAGGTGGTTCTCGCTTTGGCGCCGCCCACATTCGTCTTACAAACTCGAAACTGCTTCACGGATGGAGGGCGGGTGGGTGTCAAAATGTGGCTCTCGCCCTAGCGCCGCGTACGTTCGTTCTAACAGTTTGCAACAGTTTCAAGGACGACGGGCGGTTCCTTTCCAAAATGTGGCTCTCGTATTGGCGCCGCGTACTTCCTGTCGTCTTGCAAGATCGCAACCAGCTCAAATATTCTCATGGTCGAGGTCCCACGGCTTCGGATTGCCAGGGCGCGACAGTCACGCTGATTCTCGGAGTGGAAATAAAAGAAATCCACTCTGGCACGATTGATTTAGGATTGTCAGGCCGCAACAATCATGTTGATTCGCGGCGTTGAAGTCCCAGGAACTGCGTTTGGGCACGGTTCAGGATTCTCAAACTGTTGTCTCCTGATGGGCCACTCACCACGGTGAAAATAATTTCTTGCAAGGATCTACAGAAAGGGAACTTGGAGGGAGGGTTTACTGCAACATCGTTGATGCGTCTTGGGTTTGTTTACACTGGTTCTCCTCGTCCTCCTCCCCCCTCCTCATCCCTCCTCCTCCTCTTTCTTGTTCTGCCCCTCATTCTCCTGCTCGTGCGCATCCTCCTGCTCCTCCCTGTCCTCGCTCCTCCTCCCACCCTCACCCTCCTCATCCTCCCCTGGTATGGTGGAGATGCGCCTGGAACTCCCTGAAGGTGGACGTCTTGGAGAGGCCCGTGTACCACTGGGGGCGCTCGTGGAGGCCCACCCCCTGGGCCCAGGTCACCTGGGAGGTGAAGGGGGATGACGAAGGGGAGGACGAGGAGAAGAGGAGGAGGGGGAAGAAGAGGAAAAAGAGGAGGAGAAGGAGAAGGAGAAGGAGCCCTGACATCCTCCCATTAGAAAAACACCACGGCTGGTTTTCGCTCATTTTCAGCCTCTAGAGAAAGGGGGAGGAGAAGAGGGAGGATGGAGGAGGACGGAGAAGGAGGAGGAGGAGGAGGAGGAGGAGCAGCAGCAGCAGGAGCAGGAGCAGGAGCAGGACATGAGGGAGCAGGAGCAGGAGCAGCAGGAGGAGCAGGAAAAGGAGGCGGCGGAGGGGTCGGGGTATCAGGGGGCAGGGGGGGTAGGAGAGGGACGGGCAGGGAGGGGAAAGGGGGGGGGTAGGAGAGGGAGACGAGGGGGAGCAGGAGCAGGAGCAGAGGGAGCAGCAGGAGGACGAGGAGGAGGAAGAGGGCGAGGAGGAGGCCGAGCGTCCCCAAAGGAGGACGAGGAGGAGGAGGCGGAGGCGGAGGCGGAGGAGGAGGAGGGGGACGCGTCGCCGCCGAGTAGCAGAGTTCCCCGACCTGCGCGTCGCGGCACGAGTCCTTCAGGCCCGCCACGGTCTCGGAGGACCACAGAACGACACAGGCACTAACCCTCGGGGGCTCGCGCGGACTTGCTGCGTGGCGCTTGGCCATCAGGGGCCGCAGCGGTGGCGGAGCCCTGAGATCCTGGCGTCGCGCAAGCTCGAGGTTCGAAGTTCGAGGTGGTCTGACATTTTCGTTGGTTCTCGGCGGCTTTCCAGCCTCGGAGTGCCTTCCAGCAGCTGCGCCTCGCGGTGCCCAGATCGTCCCGAACGGCCGCCAGAGGCTAGAGTTATCACCTGAAAACCACCAGAACTTTGAAATCATAACGTCGCATGTGTTTCAAAGCGGCCGACTCTGCCGCGCTTCGGGCCCTGGGACCCTCACGCGTCGATCCGGCTCGAAATTTGCCGCAGAGAGACAAGGTCCAGGGCTCCGGTCGAGTTGCTCTAGGATGCTGCATATGTTTCATGACGTCGGATCTCAGGGTCGGGGGCCGCAGCAATGGCGGATAGCCCAGGGACGCACTTCGCGTATCCAGGGGACCCGATCGCCCATGTGTTCGGCGAGGCTCCTGGGCGAGCACGTGCAATTCACCCCCTCCTCCCAGGCTACCCGCCCCCCTCGTCGCCTCCGATGGGCCCCCCACCCCGTACCCTCTTCCCCAGCGGCGGAAGCACCCTCGAGGGTAGGAGGAGGGGGTCCAGCGCCGACCTGGGGAGTCCGCGGGGGCCTCCGAAACACTGGGCCTGTACCGTGCTTGGGGTGCCCTGGGCCTGGCGCTTGGGGTTGATGACGGGCACATGTTCCGGAAGATCCTCGTCTGTGGAAGGCAGGGTCGCATTGTCGTCCCCCGTCTCCTCCGCCGCGACAGACGGCTGGTCCTTGGCTTGTGACCCTATTGTGGGTGCACTATGCTTGGAGCCCTGTGGTGCACTGTGACTGCTGCCACATGCTGCCCTGTAGTTGGTGCATGATTGGTGCCCTGTGGTCGGTGTTCCATGGCTGGGGCCCAGTGGTGTCCGAGGGTTGGTGCGGTCCATGGTTGGTGCCCTGTGGTGCCCTATGGTACCCTCTGGCTCGTGCTCCATGGGCCCTCTGTAATTCGCCCTGCGGGCCCCCGTGGCGCAGTCGGACGCTGGCGCGCCTGGTGCCCTGTGCCTTGGTGCCCCATGCTTGGTGCCCTCTGGTGCCCCATGTGGCTGATCTCCCATGCCCCGTGCCAACGGCCCGGGCCATGTGGCTGGTGCCCGCTGGGCCGCTGGCGCGTTGGGCGCCCTGTGGCTGGTGCCCTGTGGCTTGCACCACACGGGCGACGAAAAACAGGCGGGTCGTACGCGAGACGACACAGCGACCGTGCGCGGTGGCTTACGCGGGCCGCCAGCGTGGCACAGCGCGCTGAAAAGAGGGCGCTTGAACGCGGCCTCACGCAGGCAGCTTGCGCGCCAAAGTCGGTGAAGACGGCCCCGTGTTTTCTGCGTCGCTCACATGGCTCTTGGCTCATGGCTTGCTCACAAGCAGTGCAAGAACCTACGGTCGGGACGTGTTGCTCAGCATATCGCGGCGGCGGCCCTGGCGACACGCTGCGCCTTGCAAGCGGACGGCGTGTCGCTCCGCTCCGCGGGGCGGGGGGCCAGGAACAGCTCGGCAGCGCGTCGCGCCGAAGCGAGGTGGGCCAGAACCGGCGGCTCGGCACGCCGAGCCAAAAAACCTGACCGTAGCTCATGGCTTGCACACCAGCAGTGCAGCCAGGGTGCAAACGATGGCATCAGTTCCTATGTCATCAGAGGCGTCCTGCGCGGCGGAGGCGTTCTCGCTCCTCACGGCGGGGGCGCCCAGGGTGGCCTCCGCGTCGCTCGGCTGCACGGCCTCGTGCGGGTCGTACTCGTCGGAGTCGACGTAGCCGTCCCACTCGTGGCTCATGTATCTGCCCAGCTCCTTCTCCGTCATGTCCTCCACCCTCTTCAGGACGCGCCGGCTCTTGTCCAGCTGCTTCTTGGGGCAGGGCCAGCTGCACTCGTCCCTCCCGTACTGGTACAGGTACTTCTGGACCTGGTCGCGGCTGGAGTGGCGGTTGAGCCCCCGGAACTTGTCAGGGTGCATCCAGATACCCACGTCAATGACGCGCGAGATCGCCTTGTAGCAGTGCGAGCCCTCCACTGCGTCCTCGCACTGCTCAGCGCCAGTCCTTATTGGCTCAGGGATGGTGGTTGAGACTTCCTCTTGGGAGGTCTCTTCGAAGTCCGTGCCAGACGACCTCTCAGTATCGACAGTCGCGTCGACATTCGAAACATTCTGGCATGGCAGCGGGCAGTTCATCTTGCGCTGCTTGTGCAGCGCGGTCTGGAAGTCCGCCATGCTGGACTCGCGGGTGAGGCGAGGATACCAGTCTGGATGCTTGGCAAGGCCAGCGTTCTTCAGCCACATGATGGAATTGTAGCACCACTCGCCCTCCACGGTGTCGCCGCA